GCTTTACCACACTGATTACATTCATAGGGTTTCTCTCCAGTATGTGTTCTTTTATGCCTTTGAAGATTACTGTGATTTGCAAAGGTTTTACCACACTGATAACATTCATAGGGTTTCTCTCCAGTGTATGTTCTTTTATGCATTTGAAGATTACTGTGATGTGCAAAGACTTTATCACATTCATTTCCTTCATAGGGTTTCAATTGAGTATGTGTTTTTTCATGCCTGTGAAGATGACTATAATATGCAAAGGTTTTTAACACATTGAGTATATACAGAAGTTTTCTCTTTAGTTTGATGATTTTTATGAATATGATGATAATGGTACATGTGAAAGCATTGCTACATTTAATACATTGTTGAGTATTTTTATCTATATAAATAAATTTTACAGTTTAGTCCTATTTTAAAGAAGAAACTTATGTTAAGTTTTTATCAAAAGGTTTACAATCATCATTTTCCTCTTCATTAAGGCTTGCTTTTTATCTTTGAAGATAACTGATAACATCCTTTATTACATGGTTCACATTTACAGAATCTTTTTTTCTGTATGAGAATTTTTATGTATTTGAAGAGAACTGAAAAAAACCAGTTCTCTTCAAATACATCACTCTAATTGCATTTGTAAAGTTTCCTATACTGTGAGTGATACTATATTTGCTAAGTGAACTAGGACAAACAGAAGTATTTACACAGTCCTAGTACTCATGGTGCTTTTCTGAAATGTAAGCTTGTTGACATATTAACAATGAGACTAGAAAACCAATTACTTGTATACTTGTACATCAAATTCAACAAGTATATTCAACATGGAAACTGCTACATATCTGCAATTTGTTCTGAGAGAGAGGTATGTTAGATCTTTTCACATCCCCATGTTCATGTGGCTTGTATCCAGAGTAACATATGATATACTTAGTAAAGGAAGAATAACAAACATAAGGTTTCCACATTGACTTCACACAGTTTGGCTTTCTGTTCTCACAGATTATGGTATCTGGATTAACGCCTCTCCACAACAGCTGCCCCTTGATTTGTGACTCTAACTGTCCCCTCACTAAACTTAACACAGTCACAAGCATATGGGTTAAACTATCATTTCTATGGACTATTACTGTAATAGAGAGTTTTAGAGATAAATTTATCACCTTTTCAACATGTATATCTTTTATAATATGAATAATATGAAATAAATGCATTGACAATTTTTCAATTTTACAGTGTAGCTCTATTACACAATCATAATCATTGTATTATGATTCAAATGGCAATATAGATTAAGACATTGTTTCCTTGACTTTTTCTTAAAAGAATTACTTGAAATGCATTTCACCTATCTGAAATTAAGGTATAATTTTGTGAGAATTTAATCATCAATACACTTTAATATTTACACTGTTGCTTGGGTTTAAAACATATAGCACACATTACAAATTCTTCAGAGGTGCATTTGTTTCAGCTTACACAAGAAAATTACCTTTCATGTCTTCTAGAACTTTGACAATGTTCTTCAATATTATGGTCTTCCCAACTGTATCCTAAAATATAGTGCCAGAAAAGTGTATGTTACATATCAAAAATTGTAAAAAACTTAGTTACCATTTGAAGCAAACCTTACAATCATGCCTGATTTATTTACCCCATTCTTCTTTCTCATATTACAAAAGAGAATCATATAACAAAAGAGCATCATTAACCAATGAATAATTGTCCCCTTATTTGAAACATGAAAGATAATTCAGTCTTACCTATAGTAGTGAGGTTTCTGTATGTCTCTACCATCACATCTTTGTAGAGACTCTTCTGGGAAGGATCCAGCAAAGTCCATTCCTCCCAAGTGAAGTCAATATGCACGTCATCATAGGTCACTGCATTCTAAAATATCCCATACATGTGTACAACCGAAAGTATGATTTTGACAGCATTGTAAATGTATACTTCTTTGACAGTATAGTCATATATTTCTGGTGCTTCCCATACTTATTCCATGACATAGACATCATAATTTAATCACCAAGTCACTTTAGAAGCAAACTGAATAGGAGGTTCACCTCTGTCATTTCTGAACCCTTGGAATGGGATATCACCTTGCAAGAGAAATGCCTACTAACCAACAATGAAAGGTACATAAACAGGTCAACAGTACAGAGTACAGATAAGAGAAATTGTATGAATGATTAATTCCTAACTACAAAAAGAAAAATAAGATGAAAAAGCTAGATGCATTGAATCATGACTCTAATCCTTGCACTCAGAAGGCAGAGGTATGTATATCTGTCTCTGAGTTGCATATCAGCCTAGTCCATGCAATCACTTCTAGGGCTGCCAGAAATACATGTTAAATACCCATTTCGCATGAAAAAAATAAATCAAGCAAACATAAAAGTTATGAGAAATAACTCATAGGTTTTTGCTGATGTTTCTAGAAAGAGTTATGCATCCCCCTTCAACTCTTTATTTATCTACCGGAAACCTGAAGTGCCCAAATTTAAACTGCAACATAAATAAGATTTTACTAAAAGGCACTGTGTGTTTAAAAGTTACAAATTGACAAATAAAAACAATAGAAATTAATATGCTGATTACAAATAATCAACACAAAGCAGGAAAGATGTGTCAACAGTAAAGAGTCCTCCTGGTCTTGCATACAGGTGGGCTCAAGGACTTACCTGAGGGATTATAACTATCCATTATTCCAAGTTCAAGGTTTCTAGTACCATATTTTGATCAATGTAAGGATCAAGTACTCACATCATACATATCCATGCATACAGGTAAAATACTCTTTTTAAAATAAAAATTCAAAACAAACAAAACAGGCAGGAAGGTTATGTACCTGCAATCCAATGACTTATAAGGCACAGGCAGTATTGATGTCATAAATGCATGCCATCCTGGGAAACATAATGATACGCTTTGCCAAATTTTAAAATTCAAGATATGGATGAAGTTCAGTATAACAGCATATGCTTGATAGGAACAAAACCATCAAAAAAACAATATAAAAACAAAAAAAGCCAAAAATGCTGGCCCACCTTTTATCCCAGCACTTGGGAGTCAGAGTCAGAGGTTCTCTGATTTTGAATCAGCCTTGTATATAGAGCAACTTTCAAGACAGCAAGGGCTACACAGACAAACCTTGTCTTCAAAAATAAACAAACAAAAATATAAACAGTAGGCTACCAAACCAGTTTAGAAACAAATAGCAGTTAATTCTACTAAATATTAAGTGAATTAGTGATAGAGTTTATGATGGTGGGGAAGTTATGACAGTAAAACAAGAAAACTGACTGATTAGTTTCAACCACAACACAGTAGGCACAGAGAACAGGATTGTGGGTTGAGGCTATAAAAACTCATATTGTGGGATTCCCTTCTGTATGTTGTGATTATCATTGGTTAATAAACAAACTGCTTTGGGCCTATACCAGAATTATAGGACAGAACTTAGGTAGGTAGGGAAAATTAAACTGAATTTTAGGATTGGGAGGAAGAAGGCAGAGTCACAGAGAAGTCATGTAGCCCCACTGGAGAAAAATGCTGAGAACTTTACCTGGTAAGCCACAGCCACATGGCAATACACAGATTAATAGAAATTGATTGAATTTACATTTAAGAGTTAGCCAATAAGAAGCTAAAGCTAATGGGTTAAGCAGTGATTTAATTAATACAATTTCTGTGATTATTTTTGGGCTGAGCAGCTGGGAGCTAACAAGCAGTTGCCCACAACAAACTGGTGCCCATGTGACCAACTAAAATCCACTTAAAATCTTAGAGAGCTTGGAAAGAAATTCTAGACATTAAAAAATGAAGTTCAGCCACATTTATTTCCCCAAATGGGCTTTGCAATAAAAACAAAAATAAAAATGCATTTAGTCTAAGTACAATGATCCTTATAATCTATAGCAACCCAAACATAGCAAATGTCCTTAGTCTTTTCTGATACTTAAGACAATCTCTTGAATGTCACATGTTGTAAAATAAAAAAAAATTAAATACTTACAACATATAATGGCACAGGACATATTCCCATTCATAAAAGTAGGAATATGACTGTGTTACAGCTCCCAACTTAGGCAGACCCATGTGTATGTCACACCAGTCAGAAGAACAGATAGGCAAACCACTAGCCCATGAAATTTCCACACTCCCTACATTCACACAGACACAATCCTCCAGCAACCCTATAGCTGCTACCACCAAAACCATGTACCCACCTATATATCAGATGCATAGCCTCTGCCCAAGAGCAGGCCACATCAGCCAAAAAAAAAGGTAGGAAAACTGAGGTGAAGTGCCACACCAACTCCAGTGTCATCTGTGTGACATGACATATGTCATTATGCCGGACAGGAGCTACGTGTCCCATGAAACTAGACTTCCTGGAGGTCAATGGCAGACAGCCCAGTATTAGCCACTGCTGAGGCATAGACGGGTTTCTCGATTAGGTGGCTATGAGACATATGGGCTTTGCACAATCTCTTTTATAATAATGATATTCTATACATCTACAAGACAAGGATTATCTCTTCAGGAACAGCTCTGGAATAGGAAAGCACGGTATGGGAATGTATAAGACTACAGCAGAACCTTGCTCATACCTGATGAGCAAGGGAATTGATGGGTTAATGTTGATGAACAAAGTGTATTATATTATACTTTGAACTTTATGGATAGGCTTGCTAGATCCCAACCCCCATGGTGTCTGCTGCATAAGAAGGTACTAAAAAGGTGCAACAGGTGCAGAGAACTGATTAGGCATATTTGGTCACTAGATAAAGAAAGGGTTAGAAAGAGGAAGGGCCATGATAGTGATAATAAGATAGAAACTTTCTATTCATAAGATGAAACCACTTGTCTGAGGTTTACATTCCCAAGGACAAGATTTTCTCTTCTAAGGATGTTTTATGTCTAACACCTGTTCCTCATAATATGTTTTTCTTAAATATCGCTGATGAGACTAAAAAAGGCTTTCATACTGTGCCAACTGATGATACATGACCTTCTGATTTGTTCTTTGTTTGAATACTATATAGTGAAAACATGAATTCAGTAAAATCGCAGCAGATTCCAAGCACTCTCTTGTGTGTTGCGTCTGTCTGTCATTCGTCAAACTTGTGCCTTCCTGTGTACCAAGACCCTGCTTTTCCCATGGTCTGGGTGGCTCCCCTGAGCTGGTCCATGGCAGTGAAGACTCTCTGCTGGACCAAAAGCTATGCCAGTCACGAGAAATTCACATAGGGCTTGGTTAGATGCAGTCTTACACTTGAAGCATGTTCCTAGGCTTCAAATGCACAGCCAGGCTCTTCCCTTTAATGGTGCTAAAACCCTTGATGATCTCTGTACTTTTCTCACCACTAGACTGCCATATGAAACTACCTAGTACTCTTTTTATTAACAAAACAGACTTTTCTAATGAGGAATGTCCTTCTGAATGCTGTGTATATATGTTGCTTTTATTGGTTGATGAATAAAGCTGTTTGGCCTATGACAGGGCAGAATATAGCTAGCTGGAAAATCCAAACAGATACAGAGAGAAAGAAGGTGAAGTCAAGGAGACTCCAAGAGCCACAAGAAGAACAAGATGTGAGGTAACAAGTCATGAATCATATAACAAAGTAAATATATACAAAATATGGGTTAATTTAAATGTAAGAGCTACCCAGTAACAGTCTGAGTCATTTGCCAAATATTTATATTTAATATAAGCCTCTGAATGGTTATTTGGGAGCTGACAGATGGGAGAGAAACTTGCAGCTACACTTGTCATCTCTTTCTTCTTGTTTTTTTTCACTGTAGACCTGAATGAGTCATCAGTAATAACCATCCAGTAGAAGCAGTATTTTGAACAGGAAATCAGTTTATTCCTTTGTAATTCTGTCTATGCACTTTCTCAGGACATAGAGAGAATAAGAAAGATTAGGACAAAAATATCACACAAATGATCTCTAGATAAATTTTTCATGAAGTCTTCTAAACATCTGTGCTTATGTACCAAGCTAAGATCACCTGATGGGACCACAAGGAATGAAGCCAGATTGGGCTAGAAAGGCCACAGCAAGACAAGGCTGTGACTGTTTTATTGAGGACACTCAGACTTTTTATTTATCAAAAATAGAAGATAATGGCAATTTCTAGGATTGATACAGTTGTAGCTTCCAGGATGATTTGGGATTTCCCTCTGTAAGCTGTGAATATGTTTTATTCACATTGGTTAATACAAAAAATAAAACTGCTTTGGGATTATGGCAGCACATATTAGAGCAAGGTAGGAATCCCAAGCAATGATAGAGGTGAAAAGAAAGGAGAGTCAGGGAGACACCATGTAGCTGCCAAAGGAGACAGACACTGGATGGAACCTTACTGGTAGGCCACAACCATTGGCAATACACAGATTAATAGAAATGGGTTAATTTAAGATGTAAGTGTTACTTAGTAAGAAGCCAAAGCTATTGACCAAGCAATATTGTAATTAATATAGTTTCTGTATAATTATTTCTGGGTAGCCAGGAAACAAATGAACAGTTTGCCAACAAAATGGTGTCAAAATAAGGCAACTACATCAACATAAAACCTGAAAGAGTTTTTTAAAATCTAGACATGAAAGAATAGAGTTAAGCAAGACTTCTTGGTAGCCATATTTTTCTAGATGGACTTTGTTAGCTGGCAGCAAGCAAAGGTGCCACAGCTCCTATAAGAGAAGTCTTCCTGACTCAGCATTGGTAACAAGGGATGCACAGGTTCTTTAGGGAAGGGCTTCCTGGTTTGTAATGGCACAAATATCTCTGACTCTTTTGGGAGGTACTGCTGTGTGTGGTCTATTGACACAAATTTAAGGTCAATTTTGTTAAATGAATCTCTGCTCATGTGTAAGGTATTATATTTGTTCAGTTCATTTAAAGATGCAATGTATACTTAAATAC